CCTTGTTATTCTTCTCATCTTGCCCCTTTTAAATGACAACAAGAACAACAATGAAAGAGGAACTTTCTTAAAGTAAAATGTTGAAATATTGGTTAGTTCTTATATTGATTTCCTTTTTGCAGTTTTACTCGAAATTAGAGGAGAAACATCAAGCGCTGGAGGCCCAAAAAGTTCAGTGGGAGGCAAGGACAAAGGTGCATCTTATTAATGCTACAGCTATCACTTATTCTAACAAAAACCGAGTAAATGAATATCTTAACAATCAAACTTCAACTATATAACATAATTTTTGTTTGTTTATTAGGAAGAGAAAGAAGCAGCTATAAAGCAACTGAGAAAGAGTTTGATGTTTAAGGCAAGCCCAATGCCGAGCTTCTACCATGAGGGACCTCCACCAAAGACTGAATTGAAGAAGGTAATGCATAACACCACTGTAATCAAACTTAAATAGATATGTAAATTTTAGACAAGGCATTCACCAAAATTTTGATCTGCAGTATAACATTTACGTTGTTGTAACCGGACTTAAGAGTGTCACAGTGCAAATAACGCTTCGCCCAAATATTGGTATCCCTAGCTGTCTATGGTATATAACCACCTTCTAATTCTAAATTCTTATTTCTTTGAACTGCAGGCACCGCCAACTCGTGCAAAGTCACCAAGGTTGGGCAGAAGGAAGAGCTGCAATGACTCAGTTGGTTTAGACAAAGGGACGATGGGAGCTTATGATCGAGGAACTCGCCACAGTCTTGAAGTTAACAATGAAAATGATGCCTTTGGTTCCAGAAATAGGAAAGACCGTATAAATATTCAGAATGGTACTGCCATTTACAAATTTAACAACGAAGCCAATCGTGCGGAGGATATAAATGAGTCATACATGACTACGATGCGTGAAGAAATGAATGTGGACATTGCCGTTCATTCTTGAGCCTTTTGTGAGTCTTCTAATTTAATAAGATTAAGAACTTTTCTTTTCTTTGTTTGCCTTCTTGTTATGCTGTAACAGTTGTGCATTTGACTGCTTTTAGAACTGCAAAAGATTTTTTTTGCAGTTGTCTGTGTAACGTTTATTTATGAAGTGTAAATTTCTGTAAGTTATTTCCAGTGCTTGTGTAAAGAGACTTCATTTTCTTGTAATCTATTTATGAAGATACTGGCGATCGTTCAATTTCTATTTATTTGGAACCTTCACTTTGTTCATTGCATTTTTAATTATAATGTGTCTATCGCAGTTTTTTCTTGGTGATCTTAGTATTAAAAAGGGATGAGTCATGTTTATTTATTTGTAATGTGTGGTTCGCTAGACGGATCCCAGATTTGAACTTGAAGGGATCAATGTTCTTATCATGAACTTGTTGCAATATTGCAATAATTGGATCAGAATTTAAGATGTGTTAAATTGTTTGTGTTTTTGTCTTGAAATACTAGTTTCTGTTTGTTCAAAAGCTCTGTCTGGCCCTAAAAGAACTGAAGGGTCTGTGGTCGTTGTGGAAACAAAGTGACAAAAGGCCCTTTAAGATGTTAGTGATACATAAACTGTTGCTTTCTATATTGTTTTAGTTATGTTTGCTTTTGAAATAGTCTCTATATTGTTTTTTTAAAAGTTGACTCTAAACATTAGTTTATGGATGTATGTTCTTCAATTAACTCTAAAGTATGTTTCTTAAGGTCTTTTGAGTTGAATTTAGGTACCATTCCAGCAGGATGTAATCTAAGAAAAGATCTTATCGATCATCGAATGGTTTGTCAAGTTGGTACAGTACTTGCTCTCACTTTACCAGTTTCAACTCCTAAGTTTTCGGATGCTCATGAGCCTTGTGGACTTGAGATATGGTGCTAAAAGTCTCAAAACTCAGAATTAAATATCAATGTCAATGCTGGAAGATTATACTAGTTGTACTACCTTATTTGTTTATTATCTAGATATGCATTTTTTCCAGTAACTTAATCACTGTGCTGGATATATATGGTCTCTGCAATGTGAAACATGTACTCTTAGTCCCTCACTGTCTGCTGTTGAGTTCTACTAGCGTAATGGCCCAATCCGCTAGTGATATTGTCTGCTTTGTGCCTAGGGTCGCATGCCCTTAAAATGCGTCACTAGTTGGTAAGATCTGTTTACTTTTATACTCAAACATTTTTGATGGGGGACTTGTAATCTTAAGATGGGGTGTCACAATAGATTTAGCCCCTTTCTTTGTCAACTTGATATGCCTGTTGAGGCCATTTTGCTTTTACTCTTTCAAACAAGGTAGAACTTTTGTTTTATAAATTCAAAAACTAACTCATGAGGCGATAATATCTGAGGTGAAACAGTCTATTCTTTCAACCAACGTGGGACGCTTAACATCCCCGCATGCTTAGAATTGGACAGTGGTTGCGTGAATAATTTAACACGAGATCCAATACTAAATCAACCGAAAATAAGGTATATTAAGTAAATAGGCTTTGAATCTAACTCAAATCCAATAACCTACTCGTGATACGAGAGGAAAACACATAGGGGAAAGAAAGGAAAAAGTTCTACTCAAGTCATTGAGTGACATATAAAATAAAGCCCTTTTTCGACAAGTACCTTATCCTTATTCCCCGTTTAGATTTTCCAGTTAAATTAGATGCTCGCCGCCTTTCTTTTTGATACCACGTCAAGAAAATGAATTTTTGACTTAATTCAACTATCCAAAAAATAAAAAATTTCACGAGACAAGAGTTACCTAAAATGATGAACAATTACACCAACCATAGAAAAGTAGAATAATTGCTTAATGCTAGGTTGTAGCTCCAATCATAGCTATATCTATAGGTTTCTCTGAAATTATTGCTCAAATAGTTTTTTCCTGAAGTGATCATTCAATAATTAAGCTTCTAAAAAGAAACATGAACAAGAAAAGATTTAGGAACTTACTGTTAATGACAATCCTATAGTCAAGATTGGCAAGTCTAAGTCCTATTGCTCGAACTTTTTAAAAATATTATTAGGTGTGTCGATATTTTTGAAGGATTCGACACAAATATATTAACATTTTTAAAAAATCTGAACAATGCAAAATCTAAATTATTATTTCTAACCTATTGAATGCACAATCGGTATAATGGCTCTTTCAAGATTTGAATATCGACTATCATTGTGTTGTTGTTTTTTTTTTGAGATATAACAACATTTTTCTCGCATAACAACATTTTTGAGGAATCTGAGTAGTATAGGATTTTAAGTATCGAATCCGACTCATTGAATATCAATTAGCATAGTGTCACTTCTAGGACTTTAAACTACTTGAATTTTTGGAGATCCAACATGAATTCAATATAACATTTTTCAAAGAACTCAACAATATAAAATTTAAATATTGAATTCGACTCGTATATCAGTTAGCATAATGTCATTTTCAAGATTTTAAAGTGAACTTGACTTTGGAAACATGAAGTAACATCTGACACAGTTAACATCACATGATAACCCCCCACCCCCACCCCTCTTTTGGGGCTATTTGTACTTTTTCATCCTGTTATGCTACCTACCTAATTATCCTTCACTCTTTTGTTGGGCTTAGATCTGCAAAAGCTTTAATTTGCAACTGGTTTTTGGCCTTTTCATTTAAGCTTGGAATCATTCTATCTTGGGACAACAAAAGAAAATATGACACCTACCTAATTATTCCTTCGTTTTGTTATTTAAAGCTGATATAATTTCATTATAAAAGTATCTTATGTATATTTTTATTGTTATACAACTGATTCTATTTAGGGCTGATATAATTTCATTATAAAAGTATCTTATATATATATTTTTATTATTATACAACTGACTCTCTTTAGAGCTTGTATAATTTCATTATAAAAATATTTTATATATATTTTTATTGTTATACAATTGACTCATATATGCGTAAAAATGATAATATATTAATGAGTCATTTTTATTAGGATTGTTTTTTTATATCTAGCCCAACCATTACTAACCTTTTCTTCTTCTTCTTTTTTTCATTTTTTATTTCTTCCTTTTTTTTACTGATAATAAGGGTTGTTTAAAAACATGGATTTGTAGGGTGGGCAGGGTAGGTAGGGCTAAATGCCTTGATTGATTAGACTTGTTGCTATATATTTGTCTACTTGATGACCAATTATATTGATAAGAAATGTTAATTTTGGAGTTTATTAAATTATAATTAAGAGGGAAATGGTCTTTTTTAACTCCAACTAATTTAACTTGTAATAGCCAAATGGTCTAATTAGTTCCCCTAATTAATCAAGGTTATCCTTGATTTGTGAAATTAAATGATGATATACTTTATGCATGTCTTTCTTAGCAATATATAATACTCTATTTATCTCGATTTATATGACAGTTAATTCCAGAAGAATGATATATATTTTTTATTTAGCAAATATTTAACAAAAACTATCAATATTTTATGGACAACTTTCACATATAACAAACAAAAAATTCATATTTGTATGCTATAGCAAACTTTGCATAATTGCGCTCCATAGCAAATATAAAACTGTATAATTTGCTATACATATACAATTGTATAATTTGTTTTGCATACAGTTGAATCGAATTAAAATGTATGTATATTGCATAATTATAAGTGTATAGCAAGAAGATATATGTTTTTCTCGCTTTATACAAAAAATAGAAACACAATATATACACTTCTGTTATATAAAGCTAGAGAAAATTGTATTTCACTACAATTGTATAATTCGCAATTGTATAATTCGTTGGCCTTTTTCTCTGCAATATTTGAATTAAAATGTTTGTAAATTGTATAATTAAGTGTATAACACGAAGATATACATTTTTGCATGTGTATATACAATTTTCTCTCGCTTTATACAAAACAGAAACAGAATTATACACTTCTATGTATAAAGCGAGAGAGGCGAGCGAGAATGGAGAGTGGCGAGCGAGATTTTTGGGAGAGAGACGCTGGCAAATTTTAGCTAAGGTTTGCTATGGAGCACAATTAAATCAAACCCTAGCTATTCCAATTTAGGTTATTAGTTTGCTATTATATACAATTTTCCCATATTTTATCATGTTGGGTCCACTTATATTTGGCAAAAGTCCACAAACGAGCACTCTTTGTAATGGTAGTTTTGGAATATTGTAGTCTTTTTCATATATTTTATATTTCGTGCTCGGACAAATTATATCACATAAATTAAAACGGAGAAAATATTAAATAACAATGGTGAATTCTTGAAAATATGTTTTTTATAAGATTGATCTTTAATTAATTGTGAAGACAATTGATCTTTGACTCTCCCTTAATAACCAAGTTTATATAAACCAATCATCGTAAGAAGCAAATAGTAATAACTTTCTCTAGCTAAAACATACCCAAATCTTACACTAATTTAAATTATTCAATAGTTATTTTTTTTTGTTACCACTCAAAATTTAAATGATTTCTTAAAAATAGAAAAGAACTATTAAAAGTATTATTAGCTAGAAAAATAAAATAGCAAAATAGTCATTTTTCATGTACAACTTAGGGACCTATATATATGTCATGCATCCTTACTACAACTTCTACTTCTTACTTCTTCCTTCTCTTCTTTACTCCAAAGTGAAATATTAGGGGAAAACAAAGATATTGTTGGGGAGAATGTTGTCTGGTTCGAAATCTTTCTATAGAAAAATCAGTGGTGGATTCAGTTATGAGTTTCAAGATCGTTAAATCTTATATATGTACAAAAATAAGTACAATATATATTTTTAGACCCTAAAATGTCGAATATATATTCTGAATTCGTCAATTTATTGAGTGATTTCGGACCAGGCTTCATTCCCCTCAACTCTATGAGTTATTCATCGATATTGTCCAATCAAAACACTAGAATCATACATGTTTTGAATTATTCACTTGCAACATTAATCATGTCTTTTTTTTTGTGTGTGTTCACAGCTAAAATCAGGATGATTCAAATCAAAAGAAGAGATAGAAGCCACCATGGTATATTTACTATACTATTCATCATTGTTCACTCAATTAATCTTTTCTTTAAAAATAAAATAAAATTTATTTCTAGTTTTTTAGGGTATCATCTATATATCTAGTGATATTATTTGATACTTTTATTCCATTAATCAATTTCACCTAAGTTTATTACATGAAAATTGGTATATATGCCTTTGTTATGTTATTGATAAGATTAGAATTATTGAAACAATTCATTAAAGATGAAACAGACTCAACATAGATAATCATAATGCTAATTAGAACGTCAAGGGTCGATGTTCAACATATATATGACACCATTTTATTCGTGATTGCAGGTAGTTAATACTCTAGGTTGAGAACTCGTGGTGATCAAGACAACTTTTTTTATAAAACCATTTTGAAACTTGAGTGTATATCTATGGAATATCTTTTTTTTTCTTCATATTTTTAATTAATTAATACTTTAGTCTCCCTTTTATAAACTTTTCTATGTTTTTCACCAAATTCATTGAAAAATTAAACAAGGATTGTGTACATGTAGTGTGAAAACATGACATGATTGGGCAAAAGAGAAAGTTAGGTTAGGTTTTCACCTTTTTATACAGTTATGAAGAAGATTCTAATTACTTTTTAATAATTATAATACACCTTTACTTGTAGAGAGTTGCAAAGAATATCATGTTTTGTTTTTGTTAGGACTTAAATTTTCTTTTTTCACTATTTCACATCAGTCAATGATGGCTTATAGCTGCATAAGACTTTGAAGATATTTGACTTTACTTTTCTTTTTTTTCTTCGTACGTTCGATCAGAAATCTATAATTAATTAATAAGCATTTGTGTTATTTTAGAATTCGCGAAAACTCTATACGTGTTAGAAGTTTCTTTATTCTCAATGCTTAAATCTAAAACTTAATATGGTTAAGATTGAAAAAATCGTCGTTCAATATCTCACCAATATTTATTGGTGAAAATTTTGGCTTTACTTATTACTTAACCTTTAGACACTCAACATATAAGGTGTGGTTGTTCCAATCATATTTAGTTCGATTACAAAAATTAAAAATATTTTTTTAAAAAAAAAAAGAGTTTCATGAGTAACATTTCATATCAAACGTCTTCTCACCATACCTCACCACAAACCACTCCCCACCCCTCGCCACACTGTTGATCCCTTATCCCCTTTCGCTCCCGCCCCCCACCCCCCACCCCCAACCACCCTCCGACCCCTCATATTATTTATTTAGGTTATATATATAATATTTTGGGATAATATTTTCTGATTACTTACAAATAATACGGGAGAAAATAAGTAAGAAATTTCACACCTATCAAACACACCCTAAAACCTATAGCTAGCTCCTTTTGTGAACTTTTTACTACAATGGTGGGGTTTATTGTGTCACGTTTGCATAAAAATCTATACCAGCTAGATGTTAATTAATCTTGTCTTATCACCTATGCCTCTATAAGGTTTTTAATAAACTTTCGTGTTAGTCAAAGATGATAATTAATTGGGAAAATGGTCAAACATGCCCCTAAACTATTCGAAAAGGTCTAGATATACCCTCCGTTTAAAGTTTGGTTCACTCATGCCCTCGCCGTCCAACTTTTGGTCCAAATATGCCCTTATGGGCGTTAGTTGTCATGTTGGACATATCCAACTCATTTTTTATTTCTTTAAATGCCACATGGCATTGCCATGTCATTTTGACCTTACCACATAACATTTATATGAAAATGGAAAGATATTCGGACTCATAAACATCTAATCCGACCCATAAATCAGATCCTTTTAAATTCACTATACGACCTATTTTTAATAATTTTTTTAATTTTTATTTTTGCGGTAAATCCCAAAAATGAGTAATTGATTACTAAAAAAAAGAGGAAAAATATGAAAAAAAATATAAAATTAACGCCAAAAATTCACAAAATAAATATAGTAACCTTAAATCTAACATTTCAAATTTTTTTTCAAATTTTTTATTTTTCGATAAATCTCGAAAATGAGTAATTGATTAATAAAAAATATGAAAAGTATGAAAAAAATATAAATTAACGCCAAAAGTTCACAACTAAATATAATAACATTTCAATCTACAATTTTTTAAAATTTTTATATTTTTCGGTAAATTCTGAAAATGAGTAATTTATTAATGAAAAGGGTAAAATATGAAAACAAAATAAAAAATTTATGTCAAAATTCACAAATAAATATAGTAACCTTAAATTCAATAATTTCAACAATTTTTTTTATTTTTTATTTTTTCATATTTTTCTATTTTTTATTTGTGATTTTTTTGTGTAATTTTTATATTTTTTCATATTTTTTGTTAATAAACTCATTTTTTGGATTTGTCAAAAAAATTAATAATTAAAAAAATGTTGAAATTGTTGAATTTAAGGTTACTGTATTTATTTTTTAATTTTTGATGTTAATTTTATATTTTTTCATACTTTTTATTAATCAATTACTCATTTCAGGATTTATCGAAAGAAAGAAATTTTTTTTAAAAAAGTGTTTAAATTGAATTTAAGGTTACTATAATTATTTGTGAATTTTCGGCGTCAATTTTATACTTTTTTCATATTTTTTCTATTTTTTTATTAATCAATTACTCATTTTCAGAATTTATCGAAAAAATAAAAATTAAACAAAATTGTTGAAAATTTATCGGATAATTTATTTAAAAGGGGGTTGATTTATGGGTCGGAGGTGATGTTTCTAAGTCCTAATATCTTTCCATTTTCATATAAATGTTATGTGATAAGGTCAAAATGACATGGCAATTCCATGTGGCATTTAAAGAAATGAAAAATGAGTTGGATATGTCTAACATGGCAACTAACGCCCATAAGGGCATATTTGGACCAAAAGTTGGACGGCGAGGGTATGAGTGAACCAAACTTTAAACTGAGGGTATATCTAGATCTTTTCGAATAGTTTAGAGGCATATTTAACCTTTTTCCCTAATTAATTATAATCCTGTAGGGATGAGTATAGTGGGGTCAAACCTTAGGCTTTAATTTGTAAAGGATTTTGAAAAATCATATCATATTAATTAATCAATACATAACGAATTCAATATTTAAATATTAGATTTTGAATACAAAATTTAATTGTGAATGAAGAAAAATTTGGGGTATGATATATAGATAAATGAGAATGGTATTTGATTTCAAAATATAAAAAGTGTGTTCGAAATTGAGTGACATTACAAAGGAGGGTCTAGTATTATAATTAATTTTTCCTATTAAAAAAAATAAAATTACATGAATTAATACATTTTAAAAAATAATTATTGATTTTAATAAAAAAATTTATTTATTACTATTTATATCAATATTGTAATAAATTTGTAAAATGTATTAAAAGTGAATTATTTATGCAATATATTTGAATTATAATTGTTTTTTTGAAATATATTGTGTTTGTTTGATAAAAAAATAGTCACATTGTATTATAAGTGTATTAAAATGTGTGATAAATGTATTATCCATCATTAAAACTTGTATTGTATGTGAATAATAAATTGTTCTTTGAAATATACATTAAACTTGTATTATAAATGAATTAAAAGTGATCAAGTGAAAAAAAATGTTATTGCTATAAATGATAAATATTTTTTTATTATAGCACATTTATATAATTTCCCCCGAAAAAAAAAAAAACTTTGATTCCCATGTCGGCTTTGGAATTTTATTGGTCAAGTTGGGCTAACCGATCATTTTAATGGGCCTTAAAACAGCCAACCCAATTCATCACTATATAGGATATGGGTAAGACAATATTAGCAATTTCGATTTTAATTTTCTGTATTTGTTTCTTTTTTCTGTTTTTTTGCTAAGTTTTCATCTGCTTCTAATGTGGAAAAAGAAATCTTCTACCGCAATAAAAATAATTTTTAGCTGGAATAAAGATCGATACTAATAAAGAGTGTTAAAATCTTTACATGCATTAGTTAAGTGTCATTAGAACTAATGTCGTTAAAAGCTTTAGGGACATATATAAAGAGTGCTAATTGCCACTAAAAATATATATTTAGCTATAATTAAGAATTAAACGCCGCTAATGATTATTTTTGATAAAAGTGAAAAATTCATGAACACCATATCAAGTCTTCCTGAGAATTGAATCCTTCGCTTGGACTCAAATCCTACCCTTAACATAGTATTGCTATAAATGGTAATAAATAATAAGTATTGTTACAATCAGTAATAATTTATTAAAATATATTAATTCAAGTAATTTTTTCAATTAAATTTGGATCGAAAATGATATTTAAAAAAAAAAAAAATTAACACTCCCATAAGAGCTCTCACCCCTTGGCGACTTGAACTCGCCAACCTTCGGATTCATAGTAAAGGGTGCTTACCATTCGAGCAACTATTTCTCGTCAGGTCGGAAATGATATAGATTTGTGTTTAATTTCTGTTTACTGTACAACATGTTTGAAATTTAAAATTTTATGTATTTCGAATTTATTACTGCACTTACTAGTCTTAATTATTGTATTTATAACTAAATATATTTATACATAATTTTTTAAAAAGAATTATATCAATATAAAATTTAAATAAAAGTTACTGAATTTATCCAAACTCGTATCTAATTCTAACCATGATGGAAGTGACCATCTATGGTTTTTGATATGAAAGATATGCACAACTGTCAAAATGGGGGGGGGGGTGAGTTGTATTGATGTGAAATAATAGTCTATTCGTTACTTTATGACAATAAGAATAGAACTATGTTATTTAATTTAAAGTATATATTATAAATACTAAAGCAAAGAGAACCATGCAATAGGACTGGCCAGTTACATAATTGTTGCAAAAATTAAATTAAAATATTTGTTCATATTGAGCTATTTATAAATATTGAAGGAACTATTTTTAAAAAAGGGATTTTTAAAATAATGTACTTTGCACCCTCTTGCTTCGCAAATTTCACTTTATTTTATTATTGAAAAAATATGTTTGTTGATTACTTCCATGGAGTTAAGATACTACGCAAAAAATGAGTTTTAGCGATAATTAATTAGTAATTATTGTTATATATGTATGTTTAACAACAATTAACACTCTTTGTATATATTCCTGAAGGCTTTAGCAACACTAGATCTAATGACACTTAACTAATGCAGATAAAGACTTTAGCATAATTTATTAATGTGTCTATTTATTACTGCTGAAAATTGTATTTGATGTAGTGACAGTAATATCTAATTAGGGGAGAAAATATAGCAATTATGAATATCAATATCATATTTTTTTCATGAAAAGCATATATCTTGATTTTAAAATGTGTGCATCTGTTATTTTATCGAATCAAAAATTTCGAAAAGACCTCCCAACACCCTTAATACCCATCACCTACCCTCACAAAAAAAATATGAAAAAGAAAAGATAACTTTGTTTTCCATCAAAATAAATAAAATTAAAATCTGAATATTTTCAATAAGAGCGAAAGATCTCATCAATTCACAACTCTCTTTACTGACAGAAGCAAAGTTATTTCCTTATATTTTAAATATATTTACTAAAAATTTCATCACCGCTATTATCCAGTGACATATCTTTAAATATATATACGTAATTAGATAAACTGTAGCTGCTAATGATAATTATGGTCTAAACTATAAGTTATTATTGATGTAA